TATAGTGAGTTCCAGGACAGCTGGAGCTACAGGGAGACCCTGCTTCAAAAAGACCCCCCCAAAATTATTTATTACTGGCGTATGTGTGTGTGTGTGTGTGTGTGTGTGTGTGTGTGTGTGTGGTGTTGGGGGTGCAAACATGCCATGACATGCATGTGGAGGTCAGAGGACAAATTGCAGGAGTCAGTTCTCTCCTTCCATAATATTCAAGGGATGAAGTCAGGTCATCAGGCTTGGTGACAAGCACGTTTACCTACTGAGCGCTCTCTCTCTCTCTCTCTCTCTCTGTCTCTCTCTGTCTCTCTCCTTTTCTGTCTCCCGTCTTCCTCATCAACCCCCATTTCTCCCTCTCTTCTCTCTCTCCTATGTCCTTTCCCATCCCTTCCTTCCTCCATCTTCCCTCTTTCCTCCCCCCTTCTCTCCTCTCTTCCTCCTCCCCCTCCATTTCTCCCTCTCCCCCTCCCTCTTCCCCGATCTCTGCCCTCCCTCCCTCCATCTCGTCCTCTCTCATCTCTCCTCTTTTCTCTTGTTTCTTGCTGCATCCTCTTTCTTCTCTCCCTCTCTCTCTATCTCTTCTCCTCCACACACTCACTATCTCTGTTCAAAGAGTCATGCTTCTAGGGTGTCACTCAGACCGCTATACAAATCCAATGTGCTGCTGCGAGGCGGTCTTGGAAACTCTGTGGCTTTCCTCTGTAAAAAGGGGCAGTGATGTAATTCCTTAGGACCCTAGGTAAGTGTGCTAAGAGCACACAGGTGTGCTGAGCGAGTCAGTCCCTGACTCTGTCTTTTTCCCATCTCATCTCCCTGAGAGATTGCCAGTATTTGCTGTACAGTCGCTAGTCCTTCGGAGGCTCAGGGTGGGCAGGTGCACAGCTGGACCCTTGCTCATTCCCCTGCCTCCTCTGCTGGGGGATGCTTCTAGGCTTCGAACCTCCTGTGCTGGAGTGCTTGGAAAAGGACCACGTGGAGCCAGATCATGTGTGAGTGTCTGTCCCACGCACATGCAGGGGTGCCCCTAGTGGACTGGCTGGTGGGTGGGGAGGTTGAGACTGGGACCAGAAACTGCAGTGTTGCTGGTCATAAGCAGCTGTGGTTGGGCTGGGGATATAGCTCAGTAGGTAGAGTTGGTGTAATCCAGCATGCATGAAGCCCTGGGTTCCATCCTTAGCACTGTATGAACCAGGCTTGATGATCCACACCTGTCATCTCAGCACTCTGGAGATGGAGGCAGGAGGATCAGAAGTTTAAGGTCATCCTTGGCTAATAATGAGTAGGAGGTCAGCCTAAGATACATGAGACCCCATCTCAAAAGTTTTTTAAAATCTTTTATTTTATGTGTATAAGTGTTTTGCCTGTATGTATGCATGTGCGCTGTGGCTCCAGAAGTCAGAGGAGGGCATCAGAGCCCCTGAAACTAGTGCTACAGACAGTTAGTTGTGGGTGCTGGGAACCAAACCTGGGTCCTCTGCAGGAGCAGCCAGTGCTCTTAACTGCTGAGCCATTTCTTCAGCCCCCGCCCCACAATTTTTTTATAAGTGGCCATGGCTAGCCTCAATCTGGCTTAGTGTCAAATAATGGGGCTTCTTCCTCAAACAACCTTCTCCCAGGGAAGAGCCCCCTCGGGTCTGTTCAGGGTACCCAGTTAAGGTATGCCCAGGGTTTGGTGGGTAATCATGATTCATCTTGGGGAATGTGTCTGTAACCTGAGGCAACTGTGCTATTTTGATCCCACTCTTTCTCCAGGTTGATTGTTCAGCAAGTACTTCAAGAACTGAGGCAGTACCATGGGTATGTGGGAAGGGGCACACGTGCTACAGAACACGAGGTTAGGGAGCATTGCAGATGCACATTGAGGGGAACAGGGATGCAGAACAGGCATGGGGGTAGGTAGGGGAGTAGACAGACATGGGAGTCAGGTAGAAAGAAGAAAGGAGCCAATGGGTATGGGGACACATGCCTCTCATCCCAGCACTTGGGGGACTAAAGAAGCAGGAAGATTGTGAGTTCAAGACCAACCTGGGCTATGTAGTCAGGCCTTGTCAAAGAGAAGAGAGGGGGAGAAGGAGCAAGGGAGTGGGAAGGAGGAGGAGGAAGAGGAGGAGGAGAGGAGGAGGGGGGGGAGGCCTCCACTCCCAGCTTGCCTGGCCAGCGAATGGCCTCTCTATAACGTCCCGGTTCCAAGTGGCCTGGCCAATCTAGCCCTAACCCCGAGCGGAGAGGAGGAGGGGAGGAGGAGGAGGAGAAGGAGAAGGAGGAGGAGAGGAGGGGGGAGGAGGAGGAGGAAAAGGAAGAAGAGGAGAAGGATATGGATAAAGGAGATGAGAAGACATCAGAAGAGAAGGAAGAAATGGAGGAGGTAAGGAGGAAGAGGAAGAGAAAGGGATGGAGGAAGAGAAACAGGAGGAGAAGATGAGGAGGAGAAAGAGGAGGAGGAAAAGGAAATGGAGGAGAGGAAGGCCAGTGGTATATCAGATGAGAAAAGGTAGCTCTTTCCTAACATACCATCATCTGTTAGAAAACCCTCCTTACCCGCTCATGTCCTTCAATCAAGACTTGCTATTGCCCTCTGCTGGACAGCCTGTCACTATGTCCACTATGCACTGCCCTTGAGGCAGGCCTGTACTCTACAACTCTGGGAGAGTAGAGAGAGAGGCTAAAGGTTGAGTTGCCTGGAGACCCAGATGTCTGTCCCCATCTGATCCTGCAGGGCCCGACAGCGTGCTCACATGTCCACCAGTCCTGGAGGAGCCCACTCCAACCTCACCTGGTTTGAGTTCCTGTCTGAGTGAGTCAACAAGCTTCCATAGGTGGCCATAGCAGGGTCTTTGTGCTGGGCTCCCTGAGTACTGGCTTCATCCTAGACAGCCACAGCTGAGGCGGGAAGAGCTCAAGTTCAAGGGCTACAGGGTGCTGGGAGGGAAGGTAAGGGCACAGGAGGGGAGGGGAGATGGGAAGAATAGGGGAGGGGAAGGAGACGGAAAGGAAAGGGAGAGGGAAGATGGGAAGATGGGAAGTGGCACGATGGGAAACCAGGGACCAGAGAAGGGGTCATGCCACCGTGAGACAGATTCTAGTAGTGCCTCCCAGGGCTGCCTCAGGCTGACCCGGAGCCCTGCCTCACCTCTTCCCATCCTCCAGGAGTGAGGATGGTGGAGGGAAGAATGAGAAGACGGACAAGAGCACCAGAGTCAAGCGCAGTCTGAGTTCCCTCCGCAGCAGGGTCACCAGGCAGAAAGAGAAGGTGTGGGGGGCACTGAGCCAGGGGTTGGGGGCTCCCTCTTCCTTTCCCCAGCTCCGTAAAATGCACTGGTCCCAGGAACCCTGGAATTCAAACCAGGGCTGGATACACAGGGGATGGGGTGGGCATAGAAGGACCAGCCCCTACTGAACAGATTCTGAGACTCAGTGTTGTCTGCTACAGGGGAAGAGCCCAGCACCACTAAAGGAAAAGGTTCCAGATGCTCGAGAAAGACGAGAGTGTGTCAACGGACACCAGCTGGTGCGAGGGACCTTCTCAAGTCACTCCAACTGTCCACTGTGTGGCAAACCTTTGCTGAGTTCTGGTGAGTCCCTCAGCTCCATCCATCCACGAGATGGGATGGAAGCCACTCTTTCTTCCTTGCATCCCTCCAAACTCTGATACATCCTTGCTCCATTTCACCCTTGCTCAGTTTGAGCTTATCGGTGGCTTCCTGGAGGGAACCAGAGGTCAATCAGTCACCCAGAACGGTGACTACTGGGTTAACCTAAAACCTGACAAAACACCCTCCGACTCAGCTTTTGCCTTTGCAAGAATCTAGCGAAATCTAGACTTCGGGCAGGGTATCTGTTCGCTAAGGGTTGCTGTGAGAAAACACCTGGGCTTATTGGCTTAAATCTCTGTCAGAAATATATTAACTCACAGTTCTGGGACCTGGATGGTCAAGAGCAACATACTCACAAGGTCAGAATTTTTCATGCATCTCTCCCACCTTCTGGGTAGTTCTAGAGCCTGTGACAGATGTCATCACAGTACTCCTGTAATGTTATCCTTGTGTGCATGTTAGGGGACCACACTCCGCCTTTTCTTTTTCCTGCCTTCCTTCTCACCTGTCTTTCCTTCTTTCTTGTGTGTGTGTGTGTGTGTGTGTGTGTGTGTGTGTTCATGTGTGCACTTGCACATGTATAGAAGCCAGAGGACAACCTTGAACATCATTCCTCAGGTGCTGTCCACCTTGTGTGTGGTGTATGTGCAGGTATGCCCATGCACATGTTGCATATGTGTGCCCATGGATGCAGAGGCCAGAGATTGACACCAGGTGTCTTCTTCTATTGATCTTGACCTTATTTTTGAGTCAAGGTCTCTCAGTGAACCTGGAGCTCACAGACTCAGCTAAATTGTCCAGCCAACAAGCCCAAGGGATTTGCCTGTCTGAGGAAAAAAACCCTGAGCACCTCGGTTACAAAGCTTTATTTTCACATGGGTGCTGGGGATCAAACTCAAGTCTTCGTGCTTGAACAGCAAGTGCTTTACCAACTGAGCCATTTCTGAAGCCACCTCCCTAGCCCCTACCTTGTCTTCTTATTTGTTGATTTATTAGCATGTGTGAGTGTGAGTACGCAGGTGTCACATGTGCATGTGGAAGTCAGAGGACACCTTTCAGGAGTTGGTTCTGTCCTTCCACCATGGTTCTGAGATTGGGTCTCAGGTCCTTAGGCTTGGCAGCAAGAACTTTACCCATGGAGCCATCTCATTGATGCCAACCTTTTTGTTTTCAAGTCAGGGTCTCACTTTGGCTTGGAGCTCACCAAGTAGGTCAGGCTGCCAGGCCAGCAAGGCTGAAGGATCCTCCTGTCTCTGCCTCCTGTGCTGAGATTACAAGTGTGTGTGATCATGGGTTCTCAGGTCCTCGTGCTTGCAAGGCAAACACTTGACTGACTGAACTACCAGAGCAGCCTCCAACCTCCCTTTTCTATAAGGACCCCCTGTCATGTTGGAGTAGGAGCCCAACCTAGTCCATTGTGACACCATCTTAACTAAGCATGTATACAAGGGCCTCATTTCCAAATAAGGTCCTATTCTGAAGTAAGGATATGGGGTGGTGGTGGGAGACAATTCAATCTACAACACGCAGTTTCCTGCCTCTCGGCAGCCTACAGCTACAGAACTGGGTAGCAAGAGTCGTGCTTGAGAAAGCCCTAGGGGCCCAGAAACTCAGGGGAAAGAGAGCTCTGGTTCTCACTCGGATTTAAAACTTTGCCCAGTTTTGAAGAGAGTTAAAGAAGTGGCATGGCAGTTATTTCTTAGAAAATATGTGTGTGAGGCTAGTGTTCTAGCTCAGCTGGTAGAGTGCTTACCTAGCACCATGAAGTCCTGGGTTCTAGTCCCAGAACTGCAAGAACTGGGTGTGGTGACACACACCTGTTATCCCTGCACTTGGGAGGTAGAGGCCAGAGGATCAGGAGTTCAAGGTCATACTCCGAGTCAGAAAGACAGAGAGACAGAGACAGAGAGACAAAAGACAGAGGGGTACAGAGACAGAGAGAGACAAGACAGAGAGGGTCAGGGACAGAGAGAGGCAGAGAAAGGCAAAGACAGAGAAGCAGAGAGAAATAGAAATGGAGAGGCAGACAGAGACAAAGAGACAGAGACAGAGAAACAGAAAGAGGCAGAAACAGAGGCAAAGGGAGACAGGTACAGAGAGTGACAGAGAAAGAAGAATGTATGTGCAATTTGTAGCAAAAGTTCCAACTGCAGAGCATGTGCAGGCATGCCTGTCGAAAGTTTGATGTTCATCGACATCAGCACTATTGGCTTTTGGAACCAAGTAATTCCTTCTGGAACAATACCCCTTGATAGGATGCTGAGCCACATCCTTGATCTCCACCCACCAAGCACCAATAGCACTCCCCGACAGTTATAATAAAACTGTCTCAAGACATTGTCAGATGTCAGTGGCCCCAAGTGAGAGCCAATTATCTGAGATGGCCAGGAAGCCCTAGGGTGGGAATAGATTCTGCAGTGAGAAACACAGGCCTGGTGCCTCTTGGGCACATGAGTGGCAGGCTTTCCTTCATCACCCCCCTCCTTGTCTCCAAGTGTCACTTTGCTAGTTGAGGGACCATGGGTGTCCTACCTGTGATTGCTACTGATAGGTTTTGCTGCTATTTGTTGTAATGGTGATTGAACCCAGGACCTTGCACATGTTAGGTCAGTGCTCTGCCACTGAGCCACGCCCCCAGCCCTTCGCTGAGGGATACTAAGCAGAGGCTCTACCACTGTGCCAGTCCCCAGCTCACTTTCTGTGTACACTGCCTACTGCTCTTCTTGAACAACAATGGCAGGACTGAATCATTTGCAGCACAGTCTAGAAAGCTGGAACCATTTTCTGGAGGGCTCTTTACAGAAACATGTCTGCCCACCCCTGAGCCAGGTGATCCTGCAGCAAGCAAGGCAGACCAACGGGTGTCGGGGGTGGGGTGGGGGTGGGGAGTTGCTTACCATATCTTGCAGATCAGTAAATCCCCAACAAATACAGCTTTGACAAACAACAGTTCAAGCAATGACCAATTTCCTGAATGTCACCTTACAATCCAGAAAGACTCTGCAGGGTTAACAGCAATGGGCAGCCTTGCTATACTGAGCACTTAAAGTACCCTAAATACCCAACTGTTTAAAAGCGCTTCCTTATCTACTTGTGCAAATCCAACAGTTTCTTTCATATATGAGGAAACTGAGTTTCAAAGAACTTTTTAAATTAATTGCTTAATTTTGTTGGGTGCATATATCCCAACAGCATATATCTGGAGGTGAGAGGACTCCTGTAAGAATCAGGTCTCTAGTCGGGCATGGTGGCACATGCTTTTAATCCCAGCATTTGGGAGGCAGAGACAGGTGGATCTCTGTGAGAAGAAGCTGATGCACAGACGATGGAGGAAACCTGCTTACTGGCTTGCTCCCCTGGCCTGTCCTTGGCCAGCTTCTTATACAACAAAGGACAACCTGCCCAGGGGTGGGACCACTCAAAAGTGCTCTGGGCCCTCCCAAATCATTCCAAAATCAAGAAAGTGCCTCACAGATATGACCACAGGCCAATCCAATAGAGGAAATTCTCCAATTGAGGTTCCCTCTTCCCAGATGTGTCAAGTTGATGACAGACATTACCAAGCACACTAGGCAAGCACTCTACCAACTGAGCTACATCCCAAGCCCAACCAAGGTCATGTGCAATACTGTACCCTCTGCCCCCAGTCTTGACCCTTCCCCTTGTATGTGTGTGGTGGGGCACTTGCATGCCATAGCATGCATGTGTGGAGGCCAGGGGACAACCTTGTGAAGTTGGTTCTTCTTCTACAGTGTGGGCCCCAGGGACTGAACTCAGGTTGTCACATTTTGTGGCACACCCCTTTACCCACTAAGCCATCTCATTCCCTACCCCATTAGGGTCTTTGATATGCTTCTTGGTAGCCAACAGCTTGTTTGAAGGCATCTGATGGCTCCTAGGTGGGAGTGTTTGGTACTTTTGTATGTGTCACAAAAATAGAGATGATTTATTTTTTTAATTATTTTATTTTTGTGAATCCCATACATGAGTACTGTATTCACATTACTTTCATCCCTCCCACTCTCCCTCCAAATCCTCTCATGTCCCTTCCACTCCTCTCAATTTCTTATCCATTTCTTTATTGTTACATACACACACACATTTATAGTTACACATACATGAATCGTGTGTGTGTGTGTGTGTGTGTGTGTGTGTGTATACTGCACTGATCCATTTAGTGATGCTCATAGGTACATGTATTTTGGGCTGTCCATTTGAGATTAGATAGGGTCTCAGGGAGCTAGTCCCTGGAGAACTTAAGCATCCACTTAAGCCTATCGTTTGTCATTTTGAGGTGAGACCCCTTGAAATTTCCCCTATTCACCTTGGCACGTCAACTGGTTTTGTCCTTATACAGATCTTGTTAGACTACCACACTGTGGAGATTTCATTGATGCAGCTTTCCTATCATGTCTGGAATGCCTTAAGTAGGAGGTGTCTTGTGATTTTTATTTTGTGTGTTTTGCCTGTATGTAGATAAGTGCACCACATCCATGCAATGCCTACAGAGGCCAGAAGAGGGCATTAGATCCCCTGGAACTGGAGTTAAAATTGTGGGCTGCTATGTGGGTGCTGGGAGCTGAACTTGGGTCCTTTGCAAGAGCAGCCAGTGTTCTTAACTACTGAGCCATCTCTCCAGCCCCCGTAAATACTGCCCCCCTTGTTGGGGCTATATCTCAGTTGGTAGAGCACTTGCCTAGCAGGCATGAAGCCCTGAGTTCCATCCTCAGCACCACATAAATCAGGTGTGGTGCAGCAGGCCTGTAATCTTAGCACTCAGGAGGCTGCAGCAGGAATATCAGAAGTTGAAGGTCATCCTCAGCTACATATTGAGTGGGAGGGCAGCCTGGGCTACATGACCCTGTCTCAAAAAAGAAAAATAAAAACTCCCCAAGTCCACAAATCCCCCTTCAGGGTCCTCCCAGCTCAATTCTCCCCTTCAGAGATCCCCCCCAATAATATTCCAAGCCCCTAATGAT